AATAATAAATCTCCGATTCTCGACAGGAGCTCTACGGACCCAGTGGCAAGAAAGAGCCAAAAACTTAAAAATGGACATTCTCACCCAGGTTGGACTGCTCCTCTTCCCTCACTCCTCCCCCAAGCAGTCTACCCACCATCTGATGCAGGGTCCTTTAGGACATAATCTCTTCATCCTATTTCTTGCGCATGCATACACCTATATGAGTGAAGAAAGATGTTTTGAAGGTTAAATTACTCTATAATTTGTCCAGAATTATCGAATGTGCTAGGGATGTTGCATTCTTAATGGTATATGCTTGTGAATTTCCTACTGCACCGGTGGAAAGAATATCTCTGCAAAGTCCCTTTATTCTTAAATTTAGATAATTCGATTACAATATTCTAAATTATTCACCCAATTATAGTGGAGAAAAAGCATTGGTGCAAGGTAGGGGTGGCCAAAAATCGGTTTCAGTTGAAACCAAAATTGATTTTAAAATAACCAAAAAAAATTTTCTTTAATTTTGGGAACCAAAACTGACCAAAGTTTTTACATACCAATCAGTTCAGTTATCAATAAAATTGGTTTGGTTTTGATTTTTACTAATAAATATTAATTAATTTTTTATCAATAATAAATTATATTTTATCTCATATTTTATCATATTTATCCAAATTTCAAATTTCAATTTTCAAGAGATTAATTTTTAGTTTTTGATACGTGAAAGGTTTAATTGAAACCAAACCAAAATTTATTTGATTAATATCAAAACTAAAACAGTAAAATTTAAAAACCATTAAAACTAAAGCAAATTCTTTTTTTTTTCGTTCGCTTACTCACTCGAATGCCCACCCCTGGTGCAAGGTGTGAACAACCCTTACCTGCATCCAACTTTATACTCTTCCTCGAAGTTAAAAAATACAAGATTTGATAATTTGTATTTTAAAATTAATAAAAACAAAGCACTTTATTTTCAAATTTGAGTTGCTTCTAGATATATATTAGATTCCTAAGTTGTTGCGGTCAATTTAGAAAACATAAATTATTATCACGTTAGTCAGATCTTAATAGTTAACCTTCCATAGGATGGAATCAAAAAATGAGAATGCTAATTTTTATCCATTATTTCTAATTTTCTATGCATACGCACATGGAAAACATGTCTTCTTTCTTTTAAGTTAACGCGGTCCCCTTTAGTCGTACCAAAGATACCGCGGAACATATTAGTTTATATTTTCAGAATGTAAGGGAGAAACTTCCCCAATTCTAAAGTTGCTATCCAATTAAAGTATGAGCATTGATTTTTTTTTCTAATGGGATGTGTTAAAGAGGTAAACGTATTTCATTTTTTTAATTATTTTATTTATTGAAATT